CAGCTCCTTTGGCGATGAGACTTAGAATTGCTGGACGGCGGTCTGCTTTGCATGAAGGATTCGCCTTTTGGGATGCTGTGGAATGTGAACTATTTAGCTGTTTCCAGGACATGAGGTCGCGCAGGCGTTTGCATGTTACGGTAGGTTATGTGCTGGGCGTTCTTCTGTGCAGTCCTTTTTTTTGACACTGGCTGAGTCTACTATCCGCATGCTCCCATGCCCAGTGATATGCACTGGGCTCCCGAAGTGATGTTTTTAGCCAATGTGCTTTTCGGACTTACCTCGCCAGGCTTGTCCCTGTTGTGAGTTATGATTGTTGGGTGGGTCTTCGACTGAACATCTGCTAAAATCCACGTTGTTTCGCCTTAGCATGGTGGATGTTCCGTGAAATGAAGAAGGCTAAGATATAGATTTAGTTGGATCCGAATTGTGAGTGCGTCTGTGAAAGGACTCCTGAAGGCCTTGGCATGCTAACAGCCACAAACATTGCCGCATGGGCTTGGTGGTTGCAAGGGCTGGCTGACATGAAGGAACCAGTCGCTGAGATTTCTGGCGGGCCACCGAGGACACCCAGGACACCGAGCACCTACACATAAAGGCCCCCGCATCGAGGCGGTTGGCGATTTCGTTGCAGCTGTTCTATGCCTGGGCTGTGGCGGCCCGGCTGAACCAGTGCAATGCAGCTGCTGCACTTTCCACTGCGCTGCCGGAGAGAGTCACAACGATGTTCGGGACGCCCTCCATGCCGTCAAGACCCAGAACTTGAGCTTAAGCGGGTGATCGCATCACCCCCCACGGCTTCGCCCTGCCGGCGTTCGCACCACCAAGGGCACCCGGCCGCCGTGCATGTTGGCGTGATCCCCCCCACGGCAGTGATGTTGAGTGCAACATCGCCGCGATATATGGCTGCACAATGCTGCACATCAGGGCGGGCTCGTCACCTATCGGACTATCAGCCCTCCTGCTGCTAGCTGCTGAGGCTGCTTGTGCCCTGCCGTGCTGGGCATGCTGACCGATGTTGCTAAGACGCAAATGCTCTGCAAGGCACCAGGGCATCCCACAAAGCATGCGAGGTCCGCTAAGATGCTGGTACAGTGCTATGATGTGAGTGTGAGACGTTTGACGTTCCCGACTGCATGGAAGCAGGGGTACGCTGATACAGCTTGTAGCGTGCCAACTCTTGAAGCCGAGCTTGCTCGTCACCCCACTCGTTTGTTTTCATTTGGGATGCAGCTGCCTCGGTAGCGATGGGCAGCACGGGAAGCCTGCATGGTCCAGCGCCTCAGCTTCGGACACGACCTAGCTCGAGTCATGCCAGGCGTGATGCCAAACCATCAGCCAAAACCTGAGATGTACAGATTCGCTGCCTGTGATTTGTAAGTGGGTCTGTGAAAGGAGGTTTGCTGGGCGATTTGATGTTTCTGAATTGTGAGCAGGTCTGTCAAAATGGCCCCCACTCAGATGTGGGGCCTGCTGCCTTTGACTTGCGGTTTGGTTTTTTGAAATGGAATGCCCCTGCGGAAAAATCCTGCTGAGCTTTCGCAGTCCATGGCAGACTGCCTCTCACTCAAGTGACCAATGCGATGCGTACACAGGATTGGAACATTGTCCAGCAGAGGGACCGCGACTGGGCTGAAGAAAGAACGGACTGGCAGAACTAACAAGAGGCATCGCACTTGCCATGTGGGTCTTCGAGGTGGGACCCGAAACTTCGAAAAGGCGGCCACTTTGGCGTTTGCCTCAGATACAGCCGCAATGTAAAATGCACTGGGCCGCACAAAGGCACGCCTAGTGCTTGCAGGACCCATCCATGCTCTGGCTTTCAGCCCAGATGTTGCTTGGAAAGCACGGGAGTCTGATCTCTGTTCTTCCTTTCATGTCAAACTACCAAAGCCTTGATCATGTGTCAGGCGAGGATCTGCGCTAGTGGCTCTGAGGACGGAAACGTCCGGCTCAGGGAGTTTTCTTAGTGCGGAAAGCTTGCAGAGGAAAAAGCCTGGAGTTTCTGCTTACCCGAGCTGCGAGTGTGGCGGGACTGACAATCCTGGATTTGTTAGTGATACCAATCATGTTGCTCTTTGCATATTTTTTCCAATCGGTACGACAAAGAAGTACGAGCGTACTGAGATTGATCATTTGATGGCAAGAGGACAGGAACGAACAGGCACGCCGCATTCCTGCACGAGTGGCTAAGTCCAAGAATGGATATCTGCAAATACGCGTGCTCCTCGAGCAGCAACGACGGGTGGAGCAAGCAGAGTTCGGGGAGATTCGGTGTCGATTGCAGGATCAGTGGTATGGAAGAGGGAGAAAGACTACTATCCGAATCCACAGCTGCAGAATCAGGAAGGACATGAGCTGCGTTCGACTGTTACGATCTAGAACGTAAAGGTGAGACACGGGGCAATTCCCTGCCAAGGCAGGCTTCCCTGGAGGGGCCTGTGGTGGCCTTAACCGAACTAAAGATTCACCAATACTCACCATGAAACGGAGCAAGAGGCCATTGTTGTACTTTTAACGGACACCGAGCTCAAGTCATCCAATATCATGCGAGGGAGGAAGCCACCCAAGGGAAGTTATGTTGGAAGGCTACATGGTGAGGGGAAGGGGTCGAGCCGCCGCTGGCAGCTGGGAATATGTCACACGCTGAATGCTATCAGACATCGCCTGTGTCCGGCCCACCCTGACGACATCTACCAGCGAATGAGTACGCACAAGAGAGTATGTGACCTGGCGTCCTGACATAAATTGCTTGTCATTCGCAGTGATCCGGGTGTGGAAGAGCCGCGCATTCCTGGTTGTTGTAATCCGACGTCGATGCCAGAAGCGTGTCAGGGCTCGGACTGGACAGCAGTCAAGTAAGATCAAGAAATCTTGATGGACACGCGGTGCTGGAGTGCCTGGCCGTCCCACCTCCTTCTGCCAAGGAAGAACCATCCGTGCACTGGTTTCCTTAACAGCACCCGGCCACAGTCGCTGCCAGCTGCATTTGTGCTGACTGCGAGCGCTGTCGCAACAAGACGAGCGGCATGGTCGAGTCGACTCTGGAAGGGAGCAGTTGGCTCAGAGACTGCTGGTGCCTCTGGCACGGACGTTATGGAGGTGACACTGGAAACGGATCAGCCAGACGCCGTGATGGAACTGCTGCTGGGCTTTGGAGCGAGTTCAGCATCTGCGATGGCAGCAAACACGCAGCAGGCGACGCTACGAGTTGTATCTGCGCAATTCGAGGGCTCCTCTGACATTCTAGCCAACTTGGATCTGGAACAGATAGGATCCATCATCCAGCGGGCATTGGATTTGCCTAGAAAGCCTCTTCTCAAAGGCCGCTTGCTGGGTGGTACCTGGAGCAAGTATTTCCCCTTATCCGAGTCGGTCGAAGTCCGCTTGCCTTGCCACGCCGGACCAAGAGGTGGAATGCTGAGCGAAACTGGGAGGCGTGTGCTGCGGTTGGAAGGTGGCGTGGCATTTGGCGCAGGCAATCGTGAAGCAATAACGCATAAGACCTTGCACGCGCCGAGACAAAGCCTTTTGACCCATCCCAGGCGATCATCCGACTACAAGAGGTGCGGCAGCCTTCCTGGAAGCCACGCTGACGAAAGCTCGTTTCCAAGCTAGCAGCTGGCAGCTGTTATTTTCGAGGCTTTCCATTGTAGTAACCAGGCTGTAAGTAGGCTTGCGCTGGAAAGTCTTCGTCAGGCCCACTTAGCCTTCGTTGCTTGGACTACGGCACTGGATCCGGAGTTCTGGCGATCTGTGTTGCATGCCCTGCATGGCAGCAGCGTTCGCAATATGCTTAGGGTTCTTTTTCGTCTGAGTGTTTGGATCTTGTATGATCTTGGATTATATACATGTAGGACGTGCGAGCATTGTAGCATGCCCAAAGATGCTACCGCCTCTGTGAGAGCTCGCACATAGCGTGCATTATCAAGTCAAGCAAACACCCAGATGTTTCGACACAGGCTGAAGGAAAGAACCTGCACTGTAGGCTTGGATGCTGGGGGCAAGGCACACACTCGGCGTCGATGTCGACAAAAGTGCGGTTGCATCTGCTGCACGAAGCCTTGCACTAAATGGCACGGTTGTCCCGCCGTTCGATGCGTCGGGCACCATTGCCTTCAAGCACGTGCCCGCCTGCCCCGAGCTCGCTACCAAGCAAATTATAGAGATGGTAGAGGCCCGCAGAACCGCAGTTTCCGGGTTGATTCCGATTCCACACTCAGACTCACTTCCAATGTGCAAGCAATTTCGACTTTCACTGACCACTTCCTGCAGGAGGGTGGAGCTTTCGACATTGTTGTGGCAAACATCTTGTGTGAACCGCTCCTGCAGCTGGTGGACACTCTTTCTTGCGCCACCGCGCCCGCTGGAAAACTTTGCCTGTCCGGTGTGCGCCGCCTACCAGATCTGCGTGCCGTTAAGGGGCTTCAAGACACATATTCCGAGCAATTCGAGAACTTCCAGATATCAGATGCTGGTGCCGGATGGTGCGTCATAACAGCCGAAAAAGGCCTCGTGCGGCTCAAATTATCCTGTACCAGGTCGGTTTTGGAGGCCAGGTTTCTGTTTAGGGATCATGACTCATGGCGCTATCTTCTCGCTGACGGGTTTGTGCCTGCTGTGACCCGGCTCAGATGTCAATTAGACTTGATCCTCGAATCCTCAACTGTGCTTTGCTTAAGCAGTGTCCCACGTTCGCTTGGCATCGCAAGAACTGTGGGCGTGGGCAGGCCGGGACTGTGATCTTTGTGTTTGCTTTATATTACAAGCTTCAGACCAAACATGAAGTGCCAACTGTAGTCGCTGTGGATGACATTTCATAGCCATGAGCCTTTTAAATGTGATCAGCATGGCGCAAGAGACCCGCGGATGCACGCTGACTCTTCAGAATGTCTGCATGGTTTTGTGGTGCAGTCCTGGCTCGAAGTGAAGGGCCGAGCAGGCATCGCACTAGCATAGCAATCCAGGGTAGGGAAAGCTGGGTCTGGTAGGTGTCTCCCATGGGGCAGGTGACGAGCCGCTGCATGGAAAGACTGCCGAAGATTTGTCAGAGGAAAGAAACGGGAAACGTCGCAGATGCTCAAGCGTTTCAGTGCAGATCCGCGGAGGGTGAAATCACCGTGGAGAGAGGGAAGTCAAATTCAACTAATTCAGCAGTTCTAGCCAGAGATGAGGATGACATAACAGAGACGACACCGTTCCCCATCGACCGACTAAAGGTACCTTTGACACGACGATCAGACGGATCTTCCGGGCCTTGCGGGTCAAGCGGCGCAACATCGTCAACCTCGAAACAGTTGCCCGACCTAGCCCGAATAGAGGTCACTTCCGGTCGTTTCGTTTACAACTTGGACCTTCATGGCAAGTCGGCGAAAGGACAGAACCTCAGGAGCTACTTCGAGGCTTGCAGTGAACACCGAAAGCTGCAGGTGACGACATCTTGTTTTGCTGCTTGGCGCAAGAACAAGAAAGTCAATGGCTTTGCCAAGATCATCCCGGTCGCCAAGGAAGGGAGTTGGTCACAGCTAGCAGACGTAGATGACACCAGACCTTGTCGGGTGTTCTTCTTCGATGACAATCTGGAATTTGGTGGAAAGGAAACCAGTCCTGGCATCTGCAACCTCAGAGACATGGCAACAGGCCATTTCGTGGAGTTTGCAGAGGGGCAGAATGACTTCGATCAAGAGCGCTTCGCGAGACATACAATTGTGCAGCACAGCAAGTTGTGGCGAACAGTCCTCGTCAAAGCCAACATCTTAGATGCCATGGAAGACAAGGAGTACTTTGCCAAGCTCATAGCGAAATTTTCGGAGCCATCTGACCGTTTGGTGGTTTTCATGGATGTCAATGCGACTATAGTATGCAATGACACCGTGCAGGGCAAGGGCCTGGCAGCCACCCTGCTGGGCACGATGTTCGAACTTATGGAACTCAGACCCAATCCTCCAGGTTTCACATTGAAGTGGGCAGGTCTCAACGAGATTCGGGTGGAAAAAACCCAGACGCTCAAGGCACTTCTCAAAACCATGACCGCAGACGACCACGAGGCATACACCAAGTTCTGGCAAGAGGATAATTGCTGGTCTTTCCTGTCTCACGTTTTGCAGCATGGAGAAGTCCGATGGGTCACCGGTACCGAACCCATGACGCTCGACGCGACCAAGAGCCTTTTCAGTTCCTACATGCGCACAGTTCCTTCCGCATTGGACAAGGATGGCATCACAAATAGCTGGTTTCATGTGTATGCGAGCACACTGAAAGACAGGCATTCGACCATTTTGAACTCTTTTGGTGTGGACACCAGAAAAGTGACGCTAGCCACGGTCAGTGACGAGACGGATGTGCTCCACATCGCGATTAACCATGACATGTGGGATGAGAGAGATGTTAAAAAGTACTCTGACCAATTTCAGTAGACAACACCCTCGCCAAGATGGGAGTATGCTTCAAGTCAACATATCCTTCGATTCGGGGCAATCCAGGCATATCCCTTGCAGTCAAACTCCAGAGGAACGCTTCCATCAGTGCGACCCATTTTCCACTTCCCACTGTGTTCAACGTTTTGTTGGGCGCATTGTCCATGCGATGTGCGAGTGTGTGTTTGTGTTTGGGTCAAGTAGCGCAAGTGTAAGCTGGCATGCTGCGCGAGCTTGTGTAGATTGTAGGCAAGTCTAGTAGGTGGGCAAAATCATGGACAAGCCTCCTGTACTCCTGATGCCTGTGCAAGTGGAGAAATATTTATGCAAAAGCACTTTGGCTAGAGTCAGTAGCTGGTTACTACACATGCAGGCAAGGAGTGGAACAGAGACAAAAGTGCGACATCGCGAAGCACTTCAGTTTCACAACAGACTATGACATGTAAATGCGAAATACCATTCAGGTGCTGCAGCACGAGAGAAGCTTCAGTCTGCGTTCATGTCATGTCATGAGTTCATTGTGCAATAGGTTCAATGGATGGTATGTCTCGAGCTGTCCGCATCTTCTCCGAGTGCCATTGGAGATCTCACCCGACCTAAGTGTTCACACGGTGGACAACACCGTGTTCAAAGCAGCTTGTGCTCAGAAGAGCAGCGAAGTAATTGCTAAGCTGTTTCAATCGAAACAACGACGAACTGATGTAGACTTGCCGTGTGTTTTGCGATCAAAAAGATAGTGTGACTCTCAGGCGCTGTGTCACATCAACGATGGTCAGGGTGTGACACTGATGTCAGGCTGAGTCGACAGAGAGGGAATTCCACGTCGTCCTGCTTGCTTGTCTTGCTATGTGTTGGGCTCTGCCGAACCCGACCAGGCTCGCCAGCTCAATGATCTTGTGGCGAAGGTGAGAGCAGCTCTTCAGCCTTGGTTATGAGAAGCGCTTACGGGCAAAACCCGACAGCTCATCCAAACCCAGACGAGTTTCTTGGACACAGGTTCAAGATCGTTTCATTGAATCCCTGAAATTAAATATGGTCAGACTCGGATGGGGTGCACGTCCCTGCTGTTAGGAGATGATGTTGAATGTCATGTCACGAGCTGCCTCTTGGTTTGAGTGCAGAGCAAGTCACAGCACGTTGTCAGCGCTTTTGGCTCTAGGCAGTGGGCCGAAGGTCAGCTTCGGTGGTTAAGGTTAAGCTCGCCATTACCCGCATCTCCTCAGGAACCATCTTACAAGTCAAGGCATGTCAAGCGATTTGCGCCATGGCCACAGGAAAGCGCTGAGCTGAATGCGCGGAAAGCGCCTCCAGGAGGTGCCGGAGCCAGAGAGCCCTCAGGCCAAGCGATGTCGAAGCGGCGAAGGCGAAGATGCCTTTTGGGATGATGTTGGCAAGCCGGATGCTACTTCCCCAAGCGAGCCTGTGCTCCCCGACGATCTTTTTACCCAGAACAGCAGAGGTGACCTGCTCCTCAAGAACACCGCCTGGTCTGAACTGCTTGGAAGAAAGACCGGACCGATTCTGAAGATTACTGGCGCTTCACAGTTATCTCTGAAGGACAACCGTTTGCTCATTGGTGGCGGCCCCGTTGTTCAAGAGGCAGTCAAAATGTACGCTGACATTGTGATCCGTGCCGAGGTGCCGGCCAGATACAATAGCTGCGAAATAGTGCGCCTTTACGTGTCTCAAGACTTTGCCTCTTCTTTCTGTACCCAAGAAGCGGATATTGAACGATCCGAGGGCGTTCTGATCCTGACTGAGCGTGGAGTCCAGCAGACAGAACTGACTGAACTCCAGGTGGGAGATGTGATTGAAGTCCAGGGCCAGCACGGTCATTGGAGAATGGCAACCGTATCAAAGCTTCCTGCGTCACAGTGTGCCGTTATACGACATAGCTCTGACCTTCACGAAGAGACGGTTCCACTGCGTCGACTACGTAGGGCCAGATCCATCGCAATATTTGGCAAAGCTCCACAGCGCTTGGCGGCGGCACTGCGCATTGCAGCCTCATTTGAAGACATGTCTGCCGGAGCACTCGCATCTCTTCAGGAAAACCCTTTCTTGCAAGGCAGGCTGGTGGGAGTCATCTCCGAAAAGCTGGCAGTGCGACCGGACGTCATGTGGCGACTGAACAAGAGCCCGTACCTCGCCAGCATCAAAAATGCAACAGGATGCAGCGTTATGTTCTTTAGCGGCCCTTCTGTGGAGAGTGCAGCTTCCAAGAGCAAGTCGGTCCCGCATGTTCTTGTGGCTGGTACTCTAGAGGAGCGTTGGAAAGGTCTCCAGATCGTGAAGACGATCGCGACTGGCATGCACGAAAGGAGGCATCCAGCCTTGCCACGCTCACTGTTTGGAGACTCCAGAACGGTCAGAATCCCGAAAGACATGCTATCAGTAGTGGTGGGCAAGAACATGAGTGCGATGATGGGGACAATGCGATCCACAACAACCGTCATTCTGCCTCTCAAGGAAAACAAGAACAACAAAGGCATAGAATTACTGGACACGCTGATGTTGGAAGAGGGCGCTGAAGGAGGCAGCTGTGAAATTGCAATCTTGGGCGAACCTCTTTGCAGAGCGATTGCAGAACTGAAAGTACGAGCCTTGATTGAGAAGCACCATCCGGGATACGCTGAACAGGACTCGGACTTTGCCATTGCGGGGGCTGCATGTAGCTTGGTGCTAGCCATTTCTTGCGAGTGTATCCGAAGTCAGTCTCTACATACATGTATAGTATGTGTGTTTGTTTGTGTGTAAACTTATTTATGCTAATATAGATACACTCCCCCCGATGTACGGGTTTATACCCCGGTGCATAGTCTTTGGCCACAGCCACTACATACGGTTTCCTGTACTGGATTCTGTGCATTGCCTACAGGTTGGCTATCAAAGAGCTTTTGCGCCACATCTGTTAGTGCTTCTGTCAGAGCAAGTATCCAGTGATGTTGAATGTTTCATGTTCTTCTGCCTCACACCTATGTACTGCTCAAGCCACACAGTGAGCAGTATTTAAATCATCTTGATGGGCGTCTAACGTTCATTACTAGAGTAGCAAATCGGTGCCGCAACACAAACAAGACAGAAAGCTACTCACGGCGTGGTAAGTGCCGATGTGTTTTTTAGACAACCACCGCTGATTTCACTGAGAAGGAGATGACGAAACAACCCTTAAATGCGCACCAAGTGTTCCTAAATCATGCAGTGCCGCCTCGCCAAACTTGAGCAGTAACAGCTCGAGTATTGTTTACCGATTAGTGAAGTGTCCAGTTGAGGAAATAGACATTGTGTTAGATGTCAATCAAAAGCTTTTCCCTTAACCAAGTATTATATAAGCACCGATGAACAACAATGCTTGGGCATTTGCTTGTTCTCAAAATCTGGTGCACAGTATCTTACCATCATGTAAGCCTGAAGCATACGGCAGTGGAAAGTTCTATGTGACTATCGCACATTCGACGAGTATTGAACGAATACTTACACTTTCCTTCTTGTGAACATCATACTTACACATACATCAAAAAGCTCGGCACTGAAAATCAAGTCCGTATCAAGCGAGTATTTAGATGAGCTTGACGTGCTGCACTAACCTATATTTACTAGTAAGCACAGCCTTAAGACACACTCACTGAAGACTATAGAGATAATTCAACCTAAGCACGAATCTTGCAATATTGGGTTTCACTGAACGACATATCTGCAAAAATGCAACAAGCACAATTCAAATGCCAAGCGAGTACTGCACAGAATATAGGTCAATGCTCAACAGGCATAGTTGAAGTAGTAACTACAGGGTACCTACACAGGGGGGTTATGTGCGAATTCTGCGCGACCGTCAACTTGCGTATTAATCCAACACTCCTTATGTATATGTTACTTATGAGTGCAATTGAGCAATGACAATATGTTAAAAGCAGATATGATTCAACTGTATAATGAGGAAACAGGGCCCAAAACAATGTTGTTTTATGCGAATGTCCAAGGTTAAACGGTTAAACGAGAATAAGCAGATATAAATTTTAAACTTACCCTTGATGCCAAACCAGCAGTTAGGCACAGTCGCCTGTTTCAATGCTCAATGCCCTGTTGTCTGGCTCGTGCCCAAAACCAACTTCAAGTTGGAATCCGCAACGTCGTGAGGCAGATTCTTCCAGATCGCTACGTCGAAAGAAATCATGGCACTAGTGAACCCGATGACGGACAAAAGAACAAACACAGTTCTGCTTTGAGCTCCAACGAAGCGAAACAAAGTCGCAAGCAATCAAGGCTCGCAAGAATTGCTGGCCGTGGCAAATGTCGTGACGAACATAGCACCGCATGCACGATTCTGTTGGTGCTTACGGTGTTTCCAGCTCATTGCATCTGCATGGGAATGTGCTTCGTATGTTTGGTTTGTTATGTGTGGATGTATTAGGTGTGTCCAATCATTTCAAGCGTGGCTTGTACTGTTTTCCCATTCTGTGAGGTGGCGCATGTGCCGTTCTTGTTGGTTTTTCAGAGGTTTCAGACTCTGTGTAGGCCGGTTCCCAATGTTTTGGACTCTGTGTGCGCCGTTTTGTTGTTTTTCCAATGTTTCCGCTCAATCGGAAGCAGAAAACAATCGAACCCACAGTAGCAAATCCTATGAGTCAGAAGCAGAAAGTTTTGGAAACGCAAATAAAAACTATAAAACCACTATTTGCAAACTATTCCTTCTGGGTGGCGGCAAACTTGTAGATAGGTTCAAAACCAAGGTTTCACAGTTTTCGCAGGGTTTTTTTCCAATATTTCTCCTGGTTCTGCTTGTTCCAATGTTTTCGGCCCCGTGTGTGCAATTCTTATTGTTTTTGTTCCAATGTTTTGTTGACTGTTTCCAATGTTTCTGCTCAGTCAGAAGCAGAAAGCATAGGAAACACAAATAAAAAACATACAGACCCATGATTTGCAACTTATCCCTTCTCGGTGGCCGCTGGGCTCCAGATAATAGTTTCAGCATCGTGTCTTTAATTATGCTCATTTGCTTC